ATTTATATCTAGTATGAATTAACATCTTTCTTGAATTTGAATTTACCTTGGTAGAAAAACTAATCCTTCCTAGACATTCAAAATCAAAATTCTATTACAGCAGAAAGCTGTTAAAAATAGAAAACATTCTCATGCATGAAATTGAATCAGTCATGATTCAGTTATTGGTTATGTGGCTAGTCATTAATTAGCTATGATTTATGTGGCCAGGTGATTACTGATTGAAAATACTATACTTGCATTAAATATATTTACCTACTTCAGAATTCACAAATGCCTGTCCAAAAATTCCCTACATTTTTGTTATTCAATTTAGGCATTAGTCCCTGAGTAAATTTTGCTGCCACCTAGCTAGAGAACAGACACAGTAAGGTATCATGGGTAAGCATGATGAAACTCTTAGTGTTAATTAAAATGAATTCTAAATTACAAAAAGTAAGGAAGTTAAAGTAGGTGTGCTGAAATCTGGCTCCTGTAAATGGCAATGAAACATATTTTTCTGCTATAACAGACCTCAGCAGACCTCAAAGATGATTAGCCAACCCTAACAAACCTTAAGTCTTATACCTAAATTCTTATTCTTATATTCTATCAAACCTAAATTCTTATATTGTTTTATATTATACATTCTACATAATAAAATCTGTATATGAACATGGAGAGTATCACTTTTCTTCTGCAACTTTTTAGCTCTGCCTGCCTTAGTCATCTGCTGCTATTGTTTGAAATATTTGTGCTTGGAGAATAAATTTTCTATTCCAGATTATTTCCTTCTAAATTCAGTCTGCTCCTTCTGCCTGCTGCAGCTCGACTCTAGTATAGAAAGTAGCAAGCAGTTCCCACAGCAGGTAAAAGGGAGATATTTGGCTGAATAAGGCAGGCACAACTGCTAGTCGACCATACCTTTTCCAGACAAGAAGAGTGTCCAGTGCATAGTGACACAACCTGAGATCAAGTGATGCCAAAATCCCGCAAGTCACTTGAGCGCAATGTAAATGGGTAAAACAGAAAACAGATCCCTCAAGATCTGCAAATCTCTGCAGGTAACTGACTATGCCAGATCCCATTGCAGCAACAAAATTGTGCAGACCACTGGAAGGGCTCAACATCTATTTTCATACTATGTTATCTTTAGTCTTGACCATACTCACAAGCTAGGAGAAAAAAAACAAAAAAAGTTAGAAATACACTGCAATACACTGCAAACTATGTGTAATGCTTGAATTATACAATTACATCCTTCATGGGCTCTTTAGGCCTACATGCTTCTAGTGTAGCCCTGTAGCCTTATATAAATATATCCCTCCTGTCCTCTGGAAACCCAATCCACTTCAATCTGTAATGTAAATAGTTTCCTTTTAACATGCAGTGTGTGCTGATTTCACCTTAATTATATATTTCCCTTTGCGAGAACTTGAACTGTGGGATACTGGGAAGGAATTTAACCAGCAGCCTATAAAGAATAGGGGCTGAAGCTTGGCTTCCATTAACACCTCATTAGGCAGAGCCTGTAGTGTACGTAAAATGAGCTAATGATTTTTAAATGCAGTTGTCAACCTATAACTTAATAATGTAGAAACTTTATTTCTCTGTATTACTGAGCGAGGAATAATACATTTTTATATTTACAAATCAACATGAAGCTATTGGAGAACATTATTACCCCAAACAAGATCTTCATTGGTCATCATCAAACACTGACCTTTACCATTAAACACTGACCATACCACTAATACCACAAGTGGTACTAATTGTAGTGTAAATTTTCTGATAGACACAAGATGAAGGTTTGAGGCAAACACCTTCAAGTCCTGGATATAAATATAGTTCAGTTTACTAAAAATGAAGTTAGAACTATAAAATGACTGTTAGGTGGTTATAGGATTAATTCTAATCCCATATAAAGGAATGGCAAAATGCTCATGTTTGAGTTTGCTGTGAATAAAGACCATCGTCTACCTTACCAAAAATCACTGTTACAGTCTGTATTAAATTGACAGGTTTAACAGTAGTTCAAGAATGCAGGACTTTCATTAACTCCCACGGAAGCTGAGTAAATGACCATAGAGTCAAGCAGGGGTTGCAAAATATATCCCTTAATTGGCAAGGGGATTGTGGTATTCCTATCCATCAGGTGACCCCTCTGCACAAGGGTTAGGACCTGATCTTGTTGCAGTGGGTCTGGAGGCATGTGCGCGCTGCAGGTGAAGCCTGGTTTGCTGTGAGAGCAAAAGGTTCTCATTCACTGTCAGTTCACTACACTTTCACTGAGCATCACTTTCAAAGATGGAAAAGAAAAAAAAAAAAAAAAAGAGAATTTGTGAATTTATAAAAATGAAAGTCTCTCTTTATAACTTGCATAAACCTTCTCTTGGTTCTACAAAGTAACAAGATTTTAAAACAGAATAGTTTTAAATACTCCTTCCATAACAAAAAAAAAATATAAAAAATTAATGTCTATAAACCTCATTATACTCATCATAGAAGCTTTGAGCTTGCCAGTCAGCACTAACCTTTCTTGCAATGGCCTGAATCCCAATTAACCACCAGCATCCACAGTTACAAAGGGAGGCAGAGAGCAGGCATGCTTACTTTCATGTTTCAGGGTCTTTGCAGTGAAATTTTAAACTGAATTTACAGCTACTCCACAGTGAAAATTTACACATATGGGCTTCATCATCTGTGCCACACGGCAACTCACAGGACGGGCTGGAGCAGCTTTGTAAAGAGGATACACAACCACTTCTTCACAGCCTCCCTGTGCGTGGCTGGTACCCACAGCAGCCTCTCTCTTGGGTAAATGCAATTAAGATGAGGGACCCTCCTGCTGTTCCTGTTTGATTAGTGAATACAGCAACGACATTTACTCATTGTCTTCATGCTTGGTTGCTACATTCTTTTGGCTGGGAGGGTTGCAATAGCTGTTCCCAGGGTGCAGGCAGGTATGCCATTTCTAACCTTTGACTCAGGATATGTGGTTGTGCACCCCCTGACTGCAACACAGCTTGTAAATTCAGTCACATCTCCTAAGTGTGAAAAATGTGACAGGGTATTGTACAAGGCAAAATATAAGATGGTGATGTGCGTGTCCATGGTACTTGGGACAGATCTTTGTGTGTCATTGGATCTGAGTGAACCGACATCAGCAAGGGGAGGTTTGGCCCTCTGTGAGGGATGGATGTTTTATAATCTCCTTGAAACTATCAGTTATGATGGGCTATGGCCAAATTACTGGCTCCCTGCTGAAAATAGAAGTAGTATGCAGTGAAACATACACTGATTCCAACCAGCGGAAAAACAATTACTTCTACAAGTGAGCACAGAAGCAGTTAATAGTCGCAGCACCATAGTGGGGAGATTGTCAAAACTGGCAGCTAAGCCAGAGTCCTGAACCCACATAACAGTAGGTCTATTTGTCTCATTTACTGTGCTTTCCTCATCTCCCTTACCCAATCACAAGCAAACAAATATCAGTGATAATGATAGCCTTAGTAATTACACCTAGAAATAAATCAACGTTCAAATGCATATTTTCAACAGTAAGAGATGTGAAAGGATTACATAATCAGCATTTGTCACTCATTCCTGCTCTACTCTGAAGCCACAGGCTAAAAAAGAAGTAGTTCATATATTAAAAGGGGTCATATAATTTATTTCATTCAGAGCAATTAATTGTTTACTTACAAGACAGCTTTCCATGACAAATCTTTCTTTCTTTAAAACGTGTTTCACTGCCCTATAAAAGCAAACCCCATTTCTTATAGCTTCCTAGCACGACATTCAGACCAATTATCCTATTCAGCTTCTCCTTTCTGTATAATTGGTAATTTAGCTTGCTATATAAAACACAATTAAACCTTGTTTAGACTAAGGCTGTCTACATGGGGAGCTGTAGCTGATGCTAATTCTTAAATCATAACCATACTTAAAATAGGTATTCTAATGTACTTCACACCGATGTAGCTTAGTTATCACTTTCATAACCAGAGAAATGTTCTTGAGTAAATTAGCACTTGCTCATTCCCAACTATGCCAGCAAAAAGGTATTTTCTTTTCATCTTTGCACAGGAGGTAATATCAAAACATTACTGATTGGTCAATCATCAATTTATCTTGCACACTTACATTTTTTCACTGCTACTGCAATGACTGCCTGTCATATGTTTGTAAGTGCATAATCTGCAAATGTGTGTAATGTTGTAGAGAACTGAAATGTCATGGTTTTGCACAGGTATTTTTATATATAGACTAGACTGAAACTAAATCATAGGGAAGAGCTTAAATCACATGCAATCCAGAAGTGAACAAGGAGATACTCTGAAGGAGCTAAGGAAGAATCATTCAGGTAAACTGAAACTTAAATGATTTAAAACAAGAAAGAAAAGTTATAAGTACTCTACATACATATGTCAGAAAAAAAGACTTTTTTTTTCTTTGGGTAACTCAGTTAAACTGCAAGCAGGCTTACATTGGCAGTTAGTCATTTTAATTATAGTGTGATGACACTTGCTAGTTTAGAAAATGAATCATATGGTTGCACAGGAATTCAGTCTTTTTGCCTTAGCTATATTTGTAGTTAGATAGAATTCTAAAAGTGAAACTGACATTTAATTGCTTAAGGGTTACTTGATGCATAACAGTATCTTTATTTAGCAATAATTTCAGTTTATCTTGTCCATTTCTTTCCCTCTTATTAGAAACCAGATATCCTTCTTACAGCACGGAGGATAAGACAGAATGACAAGCATATCTAACACACTTTCAGGTAGGAAAATATTTCAGTAGCCTAAAATTATCACTGTAAGTGCCTTAAATCTCCCTGAATTCAGTAAACTTAATTATGGATACAGTCAAATACAAGGAAACAATTCACAAGATTTCTGAACAGGAATATTTTGTTCTGTCAAAGGACCACAATTTAACCCCGATGCAACACTTTCAGTGAAGTCAATGAACTTGCATTAGCATAAAGTCTTTAAAAACCTGACACACTGACCTACCTTTATGTGACAGACGTAACCTTGGCTGCCTCGTATCTGTTGCATGACATCCAGTCGGTAACTCTAGTAACAAGCCATATAGTGCCAGGATTAAAAGGTCCTGGGCAGATGCCATCCTGCCCAAGATCAAATTCTTGCGCTCTTCACTTAACTGCTGCTGGTTTTTTGTTGTTTTGGTGGGGTTTTTTGAAGGCTCCAAGTTCCACTTCTACTTTCCCAGTGCAGTTAAATCTCTCTCTTTGGTCAGTTTGTGGGGTATCTCTATGGGAAATTCAACGTTCATCAGAGAAGCACACAGCCTCAGCTAGCCATTTGTCAAGCTGTGCAAATGTCATGTAAAAATATTCCCTCCCTAGGACAATTGTTTATAAAGTGCGAGGACATTCCAAGGCGTTACTCTGCGGTGTTGTGTCTTGAGCTCTCTTTAGTAACTCTGCCAGTGGATTCAGGAAGAAGCTGTATTTTCAGTCCCTCCTGCAAGGCAATTCATTCAGAGAAGGAGGGAGGGGAGGGAAAAAAAAAAAAAAAAAAAAAAGAAGAAAGCACCCTCCTCCTTGGTGCTCTTCAGAACTCAGCCCCTTGCTCTGACTTGCCAAACAGCTAGTTTTAATTCACCTTTCACCTTTGCTAATTAAAAACAAGAAGTGCCATTCCCTCCTGGAGTTGCAGGATCCACCCAGCGGGGAAGCCGGGCTGTCAGGCTGCTGTATTTACTGAGAAAGTTCAGGGAGGGTTGAGGCAATGTACAGTATTAGCAGCTCCAAGAAGCGTTTTAATCCACGTGCCGTGCACTGATTCCTCAATTGCTTCGTGGCTTCACATCGTAAAACATCGGGAGAAGGGTCAGGATTCCTCCCATCCCTCCCTTTTGAAAAGTCATTTCAGCTTTTGTTCGCAGCTCAGTTTTAGAGGAGGATTAACCCTAGAATTAACTATTTAAGTACATTATCACTTAGAGTCATTAAACAGCATGCTACTAAGTGGATCAGAATAGAAAGATTCCAGTTGTATATCCTTTCTTACTTTAAAGAAAAAGGTTTAGCTTTTTTGATATTTTTTTTTTCCAAATGTGGCTTTACACAGTGGCTTCTCCCTGTTACATTTTAAATGTCTGTAAGTCTGGGACCTTAGGTCATCTATACATGTCAGTAAAATTGCTTATCTGACTAGATGCCTGTAGGATTGGGCAGTATTTAAAAAAAGAAAAAGAAAAAAAAAAAAGCCTGAACAGAGCACTGTGATAACGTGATAAACAGCATCAGATTTACAAGCGTCAAGCAGCTATCTCTTATATTGCAGCTCACAACTGCTGGAAAACTTCCTCTCTTTTTCATGTCATTTGTAACTTAAAAATATACCCATGGCAAGAACTAAATTTTTATAAATCAAGCTAGATCTATGTCTGGAATATGTTAATTAAAGAATAAAGTTCTCTGTAATTAAGACCTCATGCATAGAATCATTTAGAATTGTGTGAGGTGCATTTTAGTAATTAACAATTGCACTTTTTTTTAATAGGATGGAGCATTAAAGTCATGTTAAGTCTTTATAATTCTCATTGTTTTAGAATCACAAAGAAAGGAAAATGAAAACTAATATATGCATTTGACAATAATGCACTCAAATTTTGTAGCCAACAAAAGGTAATGATATCTGGAGAGAAAGATTTAATAAGAAATTCCTGTATGCCAGCAAACTGAAAAGAACCCAGTACAATAATATAGGGACATGCTAATCATTGTAATAGCAGGATACATGGGTGGGAGAAGACAGATCTGTTCAAGAATTAAAAATATGAACTACTAGGACAGAAAAGAAAAAAAAAAAAAAAAGAAAGCAACTTTGGTGAAAAGACAAAAGTAAATCATGAGAATGCCCAAGGACTCCTGGAGGCTGTATAATCAGCAGCAGGGAGGAGGTCATGTCTACCTGTTAGTTCTCCAAGAGCAGGTCACGTACACATACCTGGGCTTGCTTTAAATCAGCTGGAAACTGTGCCAACAGCAGTTAAACCACAGGAGCAAGAGCTAAATCACACAGCTATTTGCTCCATTTCTTGCACACAACTGCAGGTTGCACTGAATTTTATGCTGATGTGCTGGTTGTCTGGCAGTAGCTCAGCATGTGCACTGGAGACATTGTCAGTGGAGAAGGCAACACAGGCTCTGCCTCCAAGCACTGACCTCAACATGGATGAGTTTATCATCTACCCAGTGGGATTATTGTTATTGGCACCTTTCTGCAGTACTGAGGCATACAAATGTACTGTGTTTCACCATTAAAATGTGCTGTAAAAGGGCATGATCTGGTGCTCTTTGAGGTTAGTCGAGACTCTGAAAATCTTCATTTGTCTTAAGATATGATTCTGTGAGTTGTTATTGAAATATTTACATCCTCCACTCTCCCCACCCCCCTCACCCCCCCAAAAAAAAGTTCAATGAACAGAATTCTCAGAAACTCCTTCTTAACATAAGTCTGTAACATTTAAACATTTTCAATTCTGAGATAGTCCAAATGGATTTTTTTCTTTGAAATATCCTGATATGGAAAACTTAACACTACTTCTAATTTAATAGATGCATTTTCAAAAAGGACACAAAATTCCAAATGTGAGCTCACAGTATGAAAAATAAAACCATATTCAGTGAATAAAGCAAACATTAGTGCAAACCCACAATCCTGCCTCTCTCTAGAACTCCTCTCCAAGCTGTAGTAGGGTGTTATTTTATTAATTTTCCCAGGCTGCAGTTAAGACTGTAAATGCTCAACAGACTGAACAGTTAGACTTCAGGTATCCTCAGGTTGTACCAAAAAGTTAGTGTGACAAGTTCAAAATAATTTTCCGAACTTTAAAGCTCTGGTTTAATTTTCCAGCTGGGGAAAGGGAACCGGGGGGTGGAAGGGACAAGGGAGCTGCTGGAGACTGTGGGCCTTATTTTGTATTTAGATAAGAGGTAGGGTGCAGCAGGTCTATTCAAACAAGACATACATACAAATAAGGGCAATTCCCCGCCAACATCAGCTTACATGCACTCACATGCAGTTCTAACCCCACACATCCCCAGCCATTACACAGCTCCTTGGCTCCCTAGAAACACAACGTGACCCAGGGCTAGAGCTTCAGTAGAGTCAGAAATACCCTAACAAGCTGATTTTCATATTTTTGCCCAAGGACAAAGCTTTTTTTTGGTCTGAAATCTGATTCTCAAGCAGGGTGGGCCTTGCGGGTGCCCCAGGCTCCTTCCCCTGCCTGCCGAGGGAAGGGCTGCGGAGCAAAGGAGCAGAAGCAGAAGCTGGAGCTGCCGCTCAACATTAAGGCTTTGGCTGTCAGCAAGAGGTGCTGGCATGGGAAAGCTGGGAATGGCTGCTGAGCACGGGGAAAGATGCCTGCAGTGGAAAGAGACCTAACAGAATAGAAAAGAAAAGGAAAATTGATGTATCGAACATGCAGGGCACTGATTTTTTCCCTAGGAAAAGTGAATATTCTCACAGGGTGAATCTTTATTTTTCTCAGATTGCTACATAGGGATCTCAAAACTTACACCACCCCCCACCCTTACACAACAAGATTTGATGCAAAGCAAGTAGTGGAAAGATACACACAATTTCACATCAAGAGAAATGCGTGGCCTCAGGCAAGGCAGTCAAGCTCTTTGCCTCAGCATCTTTTCAATTAAATAGGCATATGGTCTTGCCTCAAGGGGTATTTTGAGAGACTTCTTCGTAAAGGATTTCAAACAGTGGTAGAAGGATGACAACAAAGATGTTCAAATATTAGGATTCAGTCTTAGATGAGTACAAACACAGATGCCTCAGGGCTGTGGAGCCCCCATGTAGTACGGTGCAGGGTCTCTGAAGAGTAAACAAGGTGGGTTTACTGCTTTTTTTCTTCTAATAAGGCAAACACAACAGATCTCTGTCAGACCTGAGTTTGCTTCAGTAGTAAAATCTCCAGTTAAGTAAAAAATCGTGTCTGGAAACCTGTAAGTAAAGATTATTTGAAAATTCAAATGCAAACCCTGTATTTCATTGCTGGGGCAGAATCCCTATAATTATGCTGCCCTAAAGAAGAAGACGACAGGTTTTCTTAATAGAAAAGGAAAAAATAAGGTTGTTGTGTATATTTGCACTGTTTATGTACAGTAAAGATCCATTAAAAGAGCTACAATTTAATTGTGAATTGCTATGTGAAGTTTGTGAACCGTAGTTTGATTTGCTGCAGCCTCTGCAGATCCAGAGCAATTCTAATGAAGTCATTGAGCCTGTAAATCTAAACTCTCTAACACAAAATACTTCTGACATATTGTGTGAACTGGTTTAAGTTTAACTGATAGAGTGAAATGTAAACGCAGGAGCAGGATATAAATAAGTAGATCTGCAGCTACTAGCACCAGTAACAAATTCTAAACATCATCACTATAAAGCAAAACGAAATGTTTAGAAATTTTAAAGCTGGGGTGGTCCGAGAATTGCCATAACCATAACTTAAAACTAGGTTTAAAAGTTACAAGACTGCCTCCTCTTTCTGATGATGATACATTAAACCACAGTAGGAATTCTCTTGTTCTTTGTTGGACTTTGCCTGCAGTTCAAAAGAAGGTGTGTAACCCCAAGAAGAGCTGTGTAACCCCAAGAGGAGCTGTGTGGCCTTCACTGAACTTAATGTGGCCTGTACCTGCATTAGTACTATAACTTGTGGTAGCTGCTTTGCTCAGGCAATCATATCTTCGCTTATCTAATAGACAAAGCTTTAAAAGACACTTAAAGAACTTCTCTTACATGACTTAATCTGTTAAAGTTTTTTTACGTCACTGCTTATTCACTCGGTATTGCAGCTCTTATTGACCCAACAGCTTTCAAATTCTGTCATACAGGGATCCTTACAATAGATGTAGAAGATGAAGGGAAGTTCCATATATCATGTAATTGTTATCTCTATCTTATCACTGCCTTTGAGGTGGGAATTCATGTCTGCTCCAGTCTCCATTGAAAACTGGTAACTGGCTCTCTTGTGTCATCAGTACTGGAAGAAACGGTAACACAGAACTGCTTGGCATCGGCACAGTGTAGATACAGCAGCCTCACAACTCTCAGTCAACCCATAAAAAATTCTGTGGAGGCATTAAGTAAGAACGCTGGCAAGACACAACAAGAAAAAGTTGATCCAACAGGTGAGTAATCACTCAGTAATATCTTCTGGGATCTCTCTCAACGAAAGGAGCAGAACCACCACTTGGATGACCCTACTGACCCTCAGGAGGATATGCTAACTGATAGCAGAAGAATGTTGCCAGAACCTGTTTGATACAAGGATATAACAGGAAATAATGATAAAACTTAGCTGTCATATAGGATTGGCAGATTAGAAATTTTTTAGGCTTTTCCTTTTGTCTGCAAAACTTAGATCCTAACCTTGTGTGAAAGTAAATGTGTTTATATGTAATGTCTCCAGGACGGGGAAGTGTTATTTCTCTTGTTTTATACACAGTGCATTCTCTCTTT